GGTATTGGAGGAGGCATCGGACGGGTTCAAATCAAGCCAAATGTTTATTCAGGTAAAAGTACATACATAGAAGATTAGTTACAAACATAATGTTGGATTTATAGATAGAGGTAGTACATACAATACCTAAAGCCACTAGTACGCATAGCGTTCCGGGCAAGAAACGCTTGCCCGGGCTCGAAGACGGGCTGTTGCAACCCGTCCTCGACTCAGTCCATTACATCCAGCGGTCGACCCCACAGACGCCCACATTCAATTTTTTTTACATGCTGTACATTCAAAACGGGAATTTCCTCAAATATAAATTAATATTATAATATATTAGCATATTGTCCATATATTGGCATGGGTTAGGTTAGGTGTTTATATTCTGTTGGCGATTATCGTTTTTCATTTATAAACAAGGGGTTTGGCGAAGACGGTGACGGTGCATGGAATCACTTTTGGGTCTTTGTCTGGGGACGGGCTGGGATGGAATGGACTTGGTCTGGGGACGGGTTGCTATAAATGTTTCACCCACGTACTTCAAATACAAATTTGAACCTTGATTTGAGCCAACAGAACCTAAACACCTAACCTAACCTAACTGTACATAAAAAATTAATATATTATAATATTAACGTATATATGAGAACAAACCAATTTTTAATAATACATTAAACTTGATGAATACGTCGGGTTAGGGTGGGGGGGACGGCCGCCGTTATAACGAACCTGGCCTGAGGACGGGCTACTCCCCCCCCCCCCCACTTACTACAAATACTAATAATCGTCAATAGAACTAAAACACTTGATCTAACCTATTTTGGCCCTTGTAATATAGTCTTATTATATATTAATATTACGTTGTATTCAAAGAAATGTCGTTGTTGGTTACATAAACGCTCCTTTGGGATCGGCCCCAGCTTGAACAAGCATAGCCAGAGGATGAGCTGCCCATGTACTGTGTTTACAAATAATTGACAGCAGAACCAAAACATCTAGTCTCATATAACTTAGATCTAGCCATGCATATAATTATAAAATATAATAATATTAATGTAATCTTAAAAAATACAGTTTTTGATTACATAGTATATTGAGATTTATGAATGCATCTTTGGGAATGGTCGCTGGTTGGACGAGCATCGCCTGGTGATGGGTTGATATATTTGTGTTGGGTAAAGATTACAAGTCAAAATAATGTTCCAGTAGTTCCAAAATTATTATTAACAAGTAATACGAATGAGTTATACTTGTCACTATTTTTCTGTTCGTAAATTTTCAATTGATTAATTTTACCGAAAATATTTATATTAATAATTTTATATTTTTTCACCTTTAAATAAGGTGAAGAAAAATTACTTTTTTCTTCACCTTGGAATAACGAAAATGAGTTTTGGAGAACTCCTCTTTCAGCTAAGCCCTGATGCTAGGAAAATAGAGGGATAGAAGCCCTAAACCAGAAGATAGTAAATACTGAATATGCGGTCATATTCAATGAGACATGTTTAAAAGAAAACCTGCTGCCAGTATACACCAATATATATATATATATATATATATATATATATATATATATATATATATATATATATATATATATATATATATATATATATATATTAGTATATTTTGGTAGCAGTCTTTCCTGTAGACATATATTATTAAATATGACCGAAAAAGTAAGATTAATAATTCTAACACGAATTTTCTCAATCTTTCGTACATTACGCTTCACTGTTGGAGGTAAATCAAAAATCAATTCTCCAAAATTCATTTTTATTTCTAGTCTGACGCGACACGGGCGCGTTTCGTAAAACTTATTACATTTTCAAAGACTTTAGTTCACAAATACACAACTGATTAGAACTTACGTATCTCCGATTTTATATCTACATTTGAGTGAGGTGGGAGGGGTGATGTGGCATTAACACAAGACAGAACAAGAGGGGATATTAATCGGGTATTAAAAGTATCAACACAAGACAGAACACAAACAATGGGTATTGAATAGAAGTGTTTGTAGAAAGCCTATTGGTCCATATTTCTTGATGCTTCTATATTGGAGCGGAGTCTTGAGGTGGGTAGAATATAGTTGTGCAATAATTGGCTGTTGATTGCTGGTGTTGACTTCTTGATGTGTAGTGCCTCGCAAACGTCAAGCCGCTTGCTATCGCTGTATCTATCGATGATTTCTGTGTTGTTTACTAGGATTTCTCTGGCGATGGTTTGGTTGTGGGAAGAGATTATATGTTCCTTAATGGAGCCCTGTTGCTTATGCATCGTTAAACGCCTAGAAAGAGATGTTGTTGTCTTGCCTATATACTGGGTTTTTGGAGCTTACAGTCCCCAAGTGGGCATTTGAAGGCATAGACGACGTTAGTCTCTTTTAAAGCGTTCTGTTTTGTGTCTGGAGAGTTTCTCATGAGAAGGCTGGCCGTTTTTCTGGTTTTATAGTAAATCGTCAGTTGTATCCTCTGATTTTTGTCTGTAGGGATAACGTTTCTATTAACAATATCTTTCAGGACCCTTTCCTCCGTTTTATGAGCTGTGGAAAAGAAGTTCCTGTAAAATAGTCTAATAGGGGGTATAGGTGTTGTGTTAGTTGTCTCTTCAGAGGTTGCATGGCTTTTCACTTTCCTTCTTATGATGTCTTCGATGAAACCATTGGAGAAGCCTTTATTGACTAGGACCTGCCTTACCCTACAGAGTTCTTCGTCGACTTGCTTCCATTCTGAGCTGTGGCTGAGAGCACGGTCGACATATGCGTTAACAACACTCCTCTTGTACCTGTCAGGGCAGTCGCTGTTGGCATTTAGGCACATTCCTATGTTTGTTTCCTTAGTGTAGACTGCAGTGTGGAAACCTCCGCCCTTTTCCATGACTGTTACATCTAGAAAGGGCAGCTTCCCATCCTTTTCCATCTCGTAAGTGAAACGCAGCACGGAACTCTGCTCAAATGCCTCCTTCAGCTCCTGCAGATGTCTGACATCAGGTACCTGTGTAAAAATGTCGTCAACATACCTGCAGTATATGGCCGGTTTCAAGTTCATGTCGACTAAGACTTTTTGCTCGATGGTACCCATGTAGAAGTTTGCAAACAGGACACCTAGGGGAGAACCCATGGCGACCCCATCTACTTGCTTATACATGTGCCCATCCGGGCTCAAGAAGGGTGCCTCTTTAGTACAAGCTTGGAGTAGTTTCCTCAGAATATTTTCTGGCATGTCAAGAGGAGTACAGGCTGGATCACGATACACTCTGTCGGCTATCATTCCGATTGTCTCGTCCACAGGTACGTTGGTAAACAGCGATTCTACGTCCAACGAGGCTCTTATCCCTGTGGCCCGTGTGCCCCGCAGTAAGTCAACAAATTCCTTTGGAGACTTCAGGCTGAAGGCGCAAGGAACATAAGGAGTCAGCAGGCCGTTGAGTCGCTTCGCCAGTCTGTATGTGGGTGTGGGTATCTGGCTAATGATTGGCCGAAGTGGGTTTCCAGGCTTGTGCGTCTTGACATTTCCATACGCATATCCAGGTTTATATTCCCCAATGATCTTTGGCAGGTGGAGTCCGGATTTCTTGGCGTTCACAGTTTCGATCAGTTTGTTGACCTTTGCTTTTAATTCGGCTGTAGTGTCCTTCGTTACCCTTTGGAACTTAGTTTGGTCAGAGAGTATGATGTTCATTTTCGCCAGATATTCGTCTTTTTTAAGAATGACATATATTGGCGACTTGTCACCTCTCCTGACAACTATCTCCTTGTTCTCACGAAGGCTTTTAGCTGCCGCTTTAAGCTCGGGGGACAGTATGGTGCTTCTGTAGTTGCCTCGATTCTTTCCTCCTTCTGCAATAAGTTCTGCTTGTAAGGTATCTTTGGTAGTGACCTTCTTTTGTGTCTCGAGGTCGAATATGTCGTCCAACAGAATTTCCAACTCTACTTTCCGGGCCATTTCACTCGGTCTGGACATAACATGACAGGAGGAAAGGGTCCTGAAAGATATTGTTAATAGAAACGTTATCCCTACAGACAAAAATCAGAGGATACAACTGACGATTTACTATAAAACCAGAAAAACGGCCAGCCTTCTCATGAGAAACTCTCCAGACACAAAACAACGCTTTAAAAGAGACTAACGTCGTCTATGCCTTCAAATGCCCACTTGGGGACTGTAAGCTCCAAAAAACCCAGTATATAGGCAAGACAACAACATCTCTTTCTAGGCGTTTAACGATGCATAAGCAACAGGGCTCCATTAAGGAACATATAATCTCTTCCCACAACCAAACCATCGCCAGAGAAATCCTAGTAAACAACACAGAAATCATCGATAGATACAGCGATAGCAGGCGGCTTGACGTTTGCGAGGCACTACACATCAAGAAGTCAACACCAGCAATCAACAGCCAATTATTGCACAACTATATTCTACCCACCTCAAGACTCCGCTCCAATATAGAAGCATCAAGAAATATGGACCAATAGGCTTTCTACAAACACTTCTATTCAATACCCATTGTTTGTGTTCTGTCTTGTGTTGATACTTTTAATACCCTATTAATATCCCCTCTTGTTCTGTCTTGTGTTAATGCCACATCACCCCTCCCACCTCACTCAAATGTAGATATAAAATCGGAGATACGTAAGTTCTAATCAGTTGTGTATTTGTGAACTAAAGTCTTTGAAAATGTAATAAGTTTTACGAAACGCGCCCGTGTCGCGTCAGACTAGAAATAAAAATGAATTTTGGAGAATTGATTTTTGATTTACCTCCAACAGTGAAGCGTAATGTACGAAAGATTGAGAAAATTCGTGTTAGAATTATTAATCTTACTTTTTCGGTCATATTTAATAATATATATATATATATATATATATATATATATATATATATATATATATATATATATATATATATATATATATATATATATATATGTATATATATATCACTGAGCACTGCATTTTAGACTCCAATTCATAAGATACATTAATATACGCATTTTCTCTGCATTTTCAGGAGATGGAATCACTTACATGTCACCTTTGGCCGCCGACACCGCCTCTGTCTTCACCCACGCCCGCAGGCCGTGACCAGCCAGTCTATTGTACCAGTACTCGCCAGAACATTTTGCCTATAGTGAACGCCCACGTGTACATCACGTACTCTTAAACTGCGCCCACATACGCACTGGCATTGAGTTGTGGATTTGTGGATTGAAAGTTAAAAAATGTTTAACACGATCCAGTAACTGACATTTATCTCTACAAAGCATTATAACCAATTACCGGTGAAGATATGTTCAATAATTATTGTCAAAAAGTATAGTCAAAAATTTATTAGGATAAATTGATAGTTCGTAAATCAAATAAGGTAGTCTGTAGAGAAGGAACAAACCGAACATTTTGACACTTGTTGTTGAGCCGTGACGACGGAGGTGGTCATCTGGGGCACGTGAAGAAGCAAGTTATCGGGGTTTATATTATTAGTGTTGTTTACCCAGACTTATCACCATTCATAGACAATTATATGAACAGGAACCTCCCAGTCCAGCCAGTTGGTTGCTCACCCTCAATAATTGAATCTCGGTGCTTTAACGACCATAGTTAATTAAACCTTAGCCTAAACTTCTACTTCTCTTGGAGAATCAAATAGCATCAGTATTATTTCAACAATGAATTTAATTTGAATCTCACCCCGGGTCTTGAATTAGCGTGTATGCTATCGGCGAGAGTGAAGGTCTACACACGAGCAGTGGAATAGCAGTCCTTGAACTTTTGCACAATCAAAAGAAGTTGTTCAGCGGAAGTGAAATAGGTGTGAGGGGAAGGCGAGGAGGGAGAGGAGTGAGGCCAGGAGACGTCAAGCACGTCCCAAGAAGTACTGGCATGGCTTAGGTGAACTTATGTACAGGAAGAGTATAGACATGACACAGAATGTGGCAGGCAGCAAGTATGGCGTGTCAAAGGAGCAGCTGCGGCAGCTCATGGACGCCAGGGGCGCTGACGGCCTACAGCGTCTACGAGAACAGTTCGGTACGGTGGAGGATGTCTGCCACCGACTGCACTCACACCCCACCGATGGTAAGTACCCTCTCCAACTTGTACAATTCTTCATATGATATGTAATTAAGGTTAATAGTATGATCTTGTAATAAACTACGATTCTTTGCTGTAAGAAGGTAAGTGATTGTAATGGAACAGTCCTGTGAATCAACTGTTATAGATAGGCTCCCCATTTTATTTCTGCCTTAATAACACTAAGTTTATCGTCTCTTTAAAACTATATTGATCATTACATTTTGTTGTGATTTATTACTGATATTAAGTATTGCGGCATCCGAGGAACGCTCATCAAGTGTTAGCCATTCTTGGCTCCAGTGCACATTTGTTAATTATGAGTAGGTACACCTGTATTTAAGCAGCCACCCTACACTTTCTGAAGGGCTGCATAGTATGTGTCAAGAACCAGCCATCACATGCTAAGAAATCCCCATCTCGCAGTCATACAGGGACATATGTGATCAGTAGCCTGAGCTTACAAAATTTGGATGCGGTATCATATTCTCTGAATACTAAAACACGAGAGTGAATAAAGTAATTACAAAGCTCCAGGTACCTCACCCCGGCCAATCGGAAGGGTCTAAACACTGGACATTCAATAATGTAGTGTGTAAGATCATGACCGAGTTCTTGCTCAAGGGTTGAGAGATTAGTCCCTGATAGCAATCTGTCACAGGTTGCTACAATGGCACAGCTTAATCCTGGTCTAATGGACGTTTAGTGATTTCAAGCCTTTGAGTCTGTGATTTCTTTCCTATCAAACACATGACATATTGCTAACAGTTTGTTGCTTAGTATTATGACAAATCAATAGTAATAGTTCTTTCGTACATAATAAAAATTGTAATGAAACCTATAGAATGTGTAGTAACACAGGAGGCAAGTATTAACACGGTCCACAGTGGTACAGCTATTTTATTGTCAGTTGTTTGTTGTTATTTTGTCTGTGGTAAGAAATTATTGTAATATGTTGCTGTCGAAAACTTAGCTTGGAAATATTTCAGATGCTGTTATAGTGTTCTCATCGGGAGGAGAAAACCTTCACGCAAACTGCGCGTCATAAAGCGCATGCTTTTATGGTTTTATTATTACATTGCTTGCAGTTTTTAATATGAGTTATTTTTTAACTTAAAAAATTTCATCAGAGAAAACTTGAGAAATAAGAATGCGCCTGCATGGGACACACTAATCCAGTGGTTCCCAACCGGTGGGTCGCGGAACCTAAATTCTGAGTACAGTACTAATATACCTGAATCATCGAGAATTATCAAGTGAGTATCCCGATTAGGTGATTTTCTTTTAATTTAGGAAAGTTAGACTGCGGGTCGCAGGTCTTTGAGTAATACAAAATAGGGCCGCGAGTTCAAAAATGTTGGAAACGACCTGTGTATACGACCTGTTGTGTATGACCCTGTATATTTGACCTGGTGTGTATGACCCTGGATATTTGACCTGGTGTGTATGACTGTAAATTTGACCTGGTGTGTATGACTGTATATTTGTTCTGTGTGTGTGTTACCTATCGTACGTTACGGCTCGTGATCCTACAGCAGCCAAACTTTAATAAGTCTAGGGATACGACACAACTGCTGTTCTCAATAGCGAATCACCAGTATAACCCCTTAATGGGTAATGAGCATAAAATAGAATCTTCATAGGACTGAAGAATAAAGATACTAAGTATAGATATATACTATTATATTAAATAAATCTCAAAAGCAAACAGATGATTATATGGTCACAATATATATCACATTAAAAATATCACTGTAACTTCCAGACATTAAATCAATATTAATATATGTATATGGCTAGAACAAAAGAATGACTTAACTCCAAGATGATATCTCCCTGGTTTCTGCTCAGCTACTGAACTACAATATGCGAGTCAAAAAACACATTGCCTTGCCCCGCGAATAAATTGCCAAAGTTACAATATTTATTATTTCAACAATGGAGCACTACATTGTGACAAGAGTAATCTTAAACTAACTTAATGAATAATTAGTACATATTGATATAGACAAACAAAGCAATTGTTTCTTTACATAGTAATTAAAATATGCATACAGAAAGAAATAATGGCATGCACACCCAGCAACGGACGATCCCACGACAATTTGCCAGATACAGTTCACTCAATTATTATTTCACTCTGTTACCCACTTATGATCACATATAAATCATTAGTTCCCGTGGGAAAACTGATCACACAAAGAAATAAACAATCATTCCCACGATACGCTGGGCCTAACGCCAACACTGTAACATGAATGTGCATTTGCATAGAACATATAAGTATAACAATATACATGCTTGTAATTTACATACAATTATAAATGTACATATTAATATATTCACTTACGTATCTTATAAGGGTACGTAACACTTCCACCTCCAAGAAAAAAAATGCAATGGATTGAAGATCAATGGCATTTTTTCAGAAGTAAAAATGTTAGGTAAAAAGAAACATTTCATTTATGGTACATCAAAACTTCTTGACAAAGCATCAGCAATAACATTTTGTCTGCCTGGAATATGTTTGATTTCTACATTAAATTCCTGCAAAAACAATGACCAGCGCAGAATTCGTTGGTTCTTGACTTTCATCATATTTATAAAGATAAGGGGGTTGTGGTCTGTAAATACTAACACTTTATTTCCTGATAAGTAAATCTCAAACTTCTTGATTGACAATATAAGACCCAACGCCTCCTTTTCTACCACGGAATAATTTCTCTGAGCTGCATTAAATTTTCTGGAATAGTAATACACAGGATGCTCAATCTGGTCTAAACCAACTTGAATAAGCACAGCACCTATCCCAACATCTGACGCATCAATGTGTAATATAAATGGTTTATCAAATTGGGGACTAGCAAGAATAGGTGAGGTGGACAATATGCCCTTTAGGTTCTGAAAAGCATTCTGACAATCTTGTGTCCACTGAAACTTTACTTGCTTGCGTAACAAGTTTGTCAAAGGAGCAGCTACTGTTGAAAAATTTCTACAATAACGCCTATAGTATGCACACATACCAATAAACCGTTGGACTCCTTTCTTATTGGTCAACACTGGGTAGTCCACAATGGCTTGAATCTTATCTTGTAAGGGGATAATCTTACCTTGTCCCACCTCGTGGCCAAGATAAGTTATCGTACCTTTTGCCCAACTACACTTATTCATATTTATGGTTAACTTTGCGTTTTCCAACACTGTAAACAAGTTCTTAAGGCCTAAGAGATGATCGGCCCAATTCTTACTGTACAAAACAATGTCATCAAGGTAGGCCCTACAATCTGGCACATCCTTGAGTAAGAAATTCATAAGTCTTTGAAAAGTAGCAGGTGCATTTCTCAAACCGAATGGCATGACATTAAATTCATACGCACCATCAGGTGTAACAAAAGCAGTAACCTCTCTAGCATACTCTGTTAATGGAATTTGATAATACCCTTTTGACAAATCAAGCTTATTTACATATTCGGCATGACCTATGGACTCTATACATTCTTCCAACAAGGGTAAAGGAAAAACGTCCACTGTAGTGTTCTTGTTCAGTTTCCTGTAATCCACGCACAATCTCCAGGTTCCATCTGGTTTTGGCACTAACAAACACGGAGAGCTCCAAGTACTTTGACTTGGCCGAATGAAATCATGCTGGAGCAGATATTCCACTTCTGCTTGCATAATTTTCCTCTTTTCGGGATTCACTCGGTACGGATGTTGTCGAATGGGGGTGCTGTCCAGGAGCTGAATGTCGTGTGTGATGAGGTGGGTCTGGGTAGGAACCTCCCCAAACAGAGATGTATGGTTGTCCAGCAGAACCTGGAACTCATCACGTTGTTCCTCCTGTAAATGACATAGCATCTCCCTGCCATTGGAACTGGAACTGAGAAGTGGGATATTAACAACATGTCCCTCACTACAATTATCCTCAGGTGGTAACTCTTCCCGACTAAAACAAGCTACTACACCAGGTCCAACATAAGCTTTTAATCTGTTAATGTGCACAGTCATTTGGGGTTCTGAAAGATTAGGGTTAATTAGTTTATAAGTTAGGTCTCCCACCTTGTCTACCACTTGGTAGGGTCCTGCGAACTTATGGGACATGGAAGTCCCCATACGAGGTTTCAACACCAACACCAAATCTCCGACATCAAACGACCTTAGCTTAGCTTTGAACTTCTTGTCATAGCGTACTTTCATGGCTTGTTGAGTCCTTCCCAGATGTTCTTTCGCCAACTCACGAGCCCGACACAACTTAGCCTTGACCTCACTCAAGTACAATCCGCTCTGATGAACAGAGACATCTCCCAACAACTTTTCTTGTAGCATTTTAAGAGGACCTCTTACTTGGTGACCAAACACTAGTTCAAAGGGTGAACAGCCCAATGACTCTTGTAGCCCTTCTCTAGCAGCAAACAACACAAAGGGGAGATTCTCATCCCAATTACGTGGATGAGTTTCTCCGGTTGTCTTCAGCATTTGTTTCAAAGTCTGGTGGAAACGTTCAAGTCCACCTTGGCTTTGGGGATGATATGGACTGGATAATTTGTGCCGAATCCCTCGGGATTCGCAAAAAGTTCTGAAAACTTTAGAAACAAAATTTCCCCCATTATCACTCTGAATAACTCTAGGCATTCCAAACAACGAAAAGAATCTTTCAAGACACTTGATGAGATTATGAGCCTTGGTATTCCGTAGAGCATAAGCTTCAGGAAATCTAGTAGTCATACACATGAGAGTGAACAAAAACATGTTACCCGATTTAGTCTTAGGTAAAGGACCCACACAATCAATTACAACATGAGTAAATGGTTCATCAGGAACTACAATAGGTTGCAATGGTGCTCTAGGTACAGATTGATTTGGTTTACCAACAATTTGACAGGGTATACAGTTATGACAATATCTGACCACGTCTTTCTTTAACTTTGGCCAGAAAAAATATTTACTTATCTTATGGTACATATTCGTGATACCTTGATGACCTCCCATGGGGTCATCATGTGCAGCCT